CTTGGTCTATAACCACCAGAGTATTACAGTCTTTGGTCTATAGCCATTGGAACATTGCAGTCCTTGATCTTAACCAACAAACGATTACAGTCTTTGGTCTATAGCCATTGGAACATTGCAGTCCTTGATCTTAACCAACAAACGATTACAGTCTTTGGTCTATGACCACCTATCTCTAAATTCGCCCATAAGATTCAACCGCACAAAATATTTTCTTAGGAACTCCTTTGTGTTTTCATAATGGTAAGTTTTTAATGGTTGTATTTTTAACACTTTCAAATTGTACAGAAATTTATTTATAACTCATTCCATCAGTGATTTGCCCTTATAATTCACCCAGCAGGTGACGTGCAGACCTTTCACGATTTTGATTGGTCAACAAAGGGCGGTAACCAGTAGATTGGCCGCAGGTAATTCTATTGTTTATTCCTCTAAAGAAAAAGTAAGTAACGTTATTTTGATTACAGATCAGGGGTCGTCAAGCCAGGATGCTTTTGGAGAAAAGAGGGTCTAGTGTGGTTAGTAATTTTTGTACGTGCGTAGGATAATTACACTGTATGTATATATGTCTATGTATCTAACTTTGTTCCAGATATTCCCGCAAGGCAAAGAAACGCCTTGTAGTCTATGAAGTAATGCTATTACGAACATTTTTCTAAAGTGAAAACGCGCAGAAAAACTAATAAAGGTCATATACCAACCCTGTTTGAAGTATAAAAACAGAGAAGTGAGAGTCAGCCGTGCAATACATTAGAATGACTTTTATCCATGTTTTTTTTCTTACTATGTTTAAAAAAATGTTACAAATTAAGCTAGCATCAACATTATATATACATAAATATATGTGTAAATATAAGTTTATAAATAAAATATATTTCATTCATATACGTAAAGTTTAGAACAACAATACTCTCATTGGCCATTTGTCCAAGCACCGGGTGTATCACGCGAAGCTAGCTAAAATTAGAGGGCATTAAGCTGTGGGAAGGAAAGTTGCCATAGAAACAGCAAACCACGTGCGAAAATAATATCTATATACGTGTGTGGTATTATTTTCATTCGCTAATAGCGAAAGAAACATGTTGTAACATGCTTCTCGCTGTTTGATTTCGCTGAAAAAGTTGCTAGTTTTATTTAATTGAAAAACAAAGGAAATACTGGGTGGTTTTAATTGGCTGAGGAAGAGTAGAAATGTTTAATACAGAATATATTCAGTTTTATAAATACTGGGTGGTTTTGATTGGCTGGGGAAGGGTAGAAATGTTTAATACGGAATATATTCAGTTTTATAAATACTGGGTGGTTTTAATTGGCTGAGGAAGGGTAGAAATGTTTAATACGGAATATATTCAGTTTTATAAATACTGGGTGGTTTTAATTGGCTGAGGAAGGGTAGAAATGTTTAATACAGAATATATTCAGTCTTTTAAACAGTTTGTAGCCTCTATGTTTGTGTGCCTTCATGTCAAAGACCGATAATCCGACTATCTTTTAGTTGCCACTTCCTTTCTGTGTCGCCACAAGTCTTGCTCTCCTTTAATCCTGTTTTGGCTATCTATCTTAATGACTGAAGAAGAGAAGAGAGTTCACGAGGTCAGGTTGGACGAAACAGGTTTTTGTGTGTATCGTAATAACGTTGACTAGGGTAAGCGTAGTCAGGGTTTTACGAGCTCCACCTGTCTCCTACACAATGTACGTGGAGCGTGCACGGGACACGGCGAAGTTACGTGTCCAAGATAGAATCGGCTGTATTGTACAGATTGAACACTATATATATATATTTATATATATATATCTAGCGTGTCTGTCTGCCTGAATGGCCGCCAGAAGGTTCGCTACGTGCTTCATGCTACGGAATAACCGAATTCTTTGTCCACGTTTTAAGTGCTTTTCTAGCTCATTTAGGTTCGACTGAAACATTCGTTTCTCCGTGATATGAGTCCACTGCTACGAATACCGGGTTATATGGACATTCCTGGCATTCCTTCTGCGTACCGTTTCCTCGTCACACAATTTAGTAATCCAGCAATTTCACGTCCAAGCGGTGACTTTAATATATTTCCAATTTCTTTCTTTCTTCTCCCCACTCCACCCTTTACGTTCGCTATAAGATCACATGAAACATCCGGGTATTAGGTAGGCAGACCTTCCCTTTGTTTCCATACTACACATCACCTCATCCTCCTTCATTAAAGTTGGTAGCAGCTAATGGTTAAAAGGCAGAAACCATTGTCATCTATCAATCATTTTTATTTCTAATACATACATCTAACGGTTCTCCAAGACTGCTTTTCTCCAGTTGAAGAATGGTGTTAGAAAGGTGGACATTGTGCTCAAAGCACTGCTCATGAATCCATCGTTATCTCTCCCTTGACACCCGTTCTCTTTTGTTTGTTTGTTTTTCCTACTTACTCATTAATTATGTCGTATTTTCATTTTTACGATACTTACCCATTAACTCTGTCGGGTGTATATTTTGATCATATTTACCCATCAATCCTGTTGCGCATTTATTTTCATCATATTTACCCATTAACCCTGTCGGGTTTTTATTTTAACAATATTTACTTATTAACTTTGTCAGGTGTTTACCTTATTTGCCCGAATACATTAAGCACCCAATTTGGAAAGGTTAAATTGAAGAAAATTTGTTTTTTACACATCATTTGTACAAAATTTATCGCCCCCCCCCCCAGTGGTACAGCGGTACGTCTGCGGACTTATAACGCTAAAAACCGGGTTTCGATACCCGTGGTGAGAAGAGCACAGATAGCTCTTTTTGTAGCTTTGTGCTTAACTATAAACAAACAAAATGTATTGAACAGTTTCCAAATACAGTAAACAACTATCGATGTATTAAACATTTTTGGAAATTTTTCACTGAATTTTTTTTACGTGTCAATTTTACAAAATTTTTTAAACATTTATGCGTGGTAATACACTAAGCTAATCATTCATCTTTCAATAAATCTTTGTCATCGCTACCATCGGATTTGCTTCTTTGAACCTTTGTTTCATCCTCTTCTGATTCCCACAGCATTTTAATGGTCCGTTCCATCCATTGTATTGGATATTCAGCTTTTTTTTAAACATTTAATAATGCTTTAATGATTTTCGGTGGTAGCTTCTAGTAAAACACCTAACAAAATTGAAAGTGCGCGAATATAATGCGCAATCAATTTTTCGGGAGGTATTTGGAGGGGAAAAAGTGCGCATTATATTCGGGAATACGGTATTTTGATCATATTTACCCATTAATACTGTTGGGCATTTATTTTAACAATACTTACACATTAATCTTATCGGGTTTTTATTTTTACCAGATTTACCCATTAACTCCGTCGAGTATTTATTTTTACCATACTGTTTATTAACTTTATCCTTTCTCGCGTTTTAGTCTGGTACGACTGGTACACTTGATTTGTTCTGTTTGAAGTTATGCACAAAGCTACACAATGGGCTATCTGTGCTCTGCCCACCACAGGTATCGAAACCAGGTTTCTAGCGTTGTAAGTCCGTAGACATACTGCTGTGCCACTAGGGGGCTCGTGTTTTGGAAGTTTCAGTTTTTGAGTTCAACAACTCTGTTTAATATATTCTTAAGTATCTTTTTTTTTAAGAATATTGTTCCTCAATGGCTCAACGAAAGCTTTAGGTCTTATAATTCCAAAATTCAGGGTTCGATCCCTGTGGTGCAGATAGCCTATTGTGCAAATTTGCGTTAAAATATCAGCATCTTATTTGAAATAAATGTGAAAGACTTTAATTAAAATACGTTGCCATAAATCAAATCATATTTTCGTCGTTGTTAAAAATTAACAATAATTCAACCCTTTCAAATAATTTACTCTAGACTATCAACACCAATAACCTTGCTTGCTTGAACTAGCGCACGGGACAAGAGAGAGGTAGCATTCATACAATATGAACAGTAAATCTGAAATAGTTCCTTCCATCTGTCATCATTCGAAGAACTGCACTTTAATGTTGTTTTTCTTTTCTTTGGTTTTTGAGAAGTTGGCACAGACGCTTGTGTTAAAAAAAACACATCATCTGCCTACGTGACAGAAGAAAGGTATAAAAATTTATTTATAAAAAAGAAAGATAAATTTTCAGTATGACATTTAATGGGGTGAGATGACTAAACATTAGTATACAGATACAATTTCAGGTAGTACACAGATACGACTGGTCAGTATTTCAGGAACTACACAGATTCTATTCGTCAGTATTTCAGGAACTACACAGATTCTATTGGTCAGTTTTCAGGAAGTACACAGATTCTATTGGTCAGTATTCCCGATACATAGATTCTACTTGTCAGTGTTTCACGTGACAACTAAACTGTGCACAGCATGCGAGAAGCGTTGCTAGGCGGGGACATTGAAAGCTCAGGAGTTTATACTGTACGTAAAATACTGTAAACCGTGCTGATCGTCCTAGATTTGTTCTTAACTGATATAAAGCAATAACCTCAGAGTGCTGTTCGTCCAGGATTTGTTCTTAACTGATATATAGTGTTAACTTCAGAGTGCTGATCGTCCTGGATTTTTTCATAACTGATATAAAGTGTTAACCTCAGAGTGCTGATCATACTTGATTTGTTCTTCACTGATTTAAAGTATTAATCCATTAAATAGATAAGGTTATTTTTTATCATCAATTCACTCATTATTTCCATTTTATTATATAATATTATGATATAATTCTCTTATAAGTGAAATACACGCAAGCTTTACTGCTCTGCAACTTAACAAGTAAAATGTCTAAATTATTACTCTAGACATTTTACACGGCACTCTGTCACTATCTTGCATAATATTTACAACATTACACCTCTGGACATCTTACATGACGCATTGTCACTATATTGTAAAATGTTTATATTATTACACATCTGGTTTGTTTGTTTTGTTTTTTTAATTTCGCGCA